ATCTCTTCTTTCTTGTGTCAGATCTACAAACTCAATCGTCGACATGGCGATCGGGAAAGACGATTGAGGAAGGTATGAGAGTGTTTTGGTCATTAACTGGTTTCTAGAAAATGTTTAAACTCTTGTGTTTGCTTTCAAGGGTAACTTGCAAACAAAACAAACGACTTGAGGTAAGAATTTCACTCTGAAGCTGAAGAGGCAAAGGTTTGCTAATCTTTAGTTAACTGTCTATGATTGAGGCAATGGTCTAAAGATTAATTGTCTAATGCTGCAGAATGTGAAACTTGAGCTTGCAAAACTGGAAAACAGAGTCAAATATATTGTAGGAGTTCAAAAAGGAGATTTCGAATTACATGTGCGTACTGATGATATTGTTCCAAAGTTGGTGGAGAGAGGGTTTCGAAAATTCTCGAACAATGCCAAGCATGCAACTGAAGAAAGCTCATATGACTACCTATGAGTGGAAACTACTTTAGATATGATAGTGTCCCCTTTGAAACTTCATTTCGATAGATGTATTGAAAGCCCTAATTTCTCTTCTTGAGGAGAATGAGCTGGATTTAGACAAGGAGAGAGTGGACCTAGATTTACAAAACAATCAACTTTGTTCGGCGAGTTAAAAAACTGTCATGGGAATAAGGTATTTATATAGTTATCTTGGTTGCATTTATCTGTTTTATTTTATTTGGGGACTTTAAATGCATAGCAAAATCTTGTTGAACTTAAATGCATCACTTTTAGCTCAGTATATTGATTTGGTTCAACAACTGTACAAAACTAATTCCATTTATATATATACTAGAATAGGTTTCGCGTGATGCGCAAGTTTCTCTTTTACAATTTTGTTAAACTAGAAAGAGTTTTTGTTTTACAATTTTATTTAATTTAATCATAAAAGTTTTGATTTATTTAGTAGCTTAGTATTTAGATCTTACGAAACAACCAAATATTTGAAATTAGATAAATCGTTTCTCTTATTTATATACGACATAAAAAGATGATTTTAATAGTAAAAACTATATTTTTTTCATAAATTTTTTTTTCCTTTGTTACTCTATTCTACTCTAAAATTAAATTTAACCTATGCGTATACAGACGCATGCAGGAGCCTTAGTGCTAGTTCTTGGGAAAATGGGCAATATCCCCATGAACTCTCTAGTTTCTAATTATTTATACATGAACTATGGACCCATGCCAACACACACATGAACTAGGTTTATATTTGAATTGACAAATTATGATC